AAAATCATCATAGCATGTTTAACGATCTTGAGTCTCCGAACGTTGGTCTTGAACAGTTAATGAGGATGAAAAACTTGGTCTTGAACATAGACTAATCTGACAATAACGAGCAATATTCCATGAAGTATAAATTTGAACCATAACCAAAAAAATCCACAAACAACATGAAAGGTAAAAATATAAAGACTGAAAGGTGTGCAAGTCTCCAATAACCTAACACACACACACAGACATAGGCGAGTACAACTCCTTGAGCACCAAAAAGCTACGGCAAGAAAGGTAAGGTTTTTTTAATATACAACTCCTTGACCACCTTTTGTAGAAATGTCTCCATGGTCAAAAAAGTTTTAAAGAAAATGAATAGGAAGGAGGTAACCATCGATAAACTGAAACCTTAATGTTTTAGTGGCACCATAGAAGTCATTCCTCTACTTGAATGTAGCAACATACCACTAAGGATGGAGCAAAGCGTGATTAAGCCTGCTGCCTATATCCTTTTTTTAGAAACAAAATAAAATATGCATCAGAGTGCGTTTGCAAGAGATTAATTAAAGGGTCATGCAGGTAGCAATTGGTTTAGCAGGAATCAAGTAGGATGACAAGTTTTTCTAATCTGCCAGTAAGAGGCTTACAGGAAGACCATATACAGAAAATTGCAATATATGCTTCTAGCTTGAACACTGAATTTGATCAAATTCTAAGGCGGGTCAAGTCCCAATATTTATTTTGTTTTAAACATTATAGCAAGGTTTCCCTTGTCCAAGATCATTAAGAAATGAGCCACACTAGTCCCATAAGTAGAGGGAGAGCTGCTGCTAGTCAGAGCAAGAGGGATGTACAAGTTTAATCAAGAACATGGCAGGATGGTGTGTGGAAGCTAAGCGGTTGAAAATAAGTTATGGCAGTATCCTGGCTCCTATTCAATTTGGGATGTCTGGCTGAAGTTACTTTATTGAGAAGAGTTAGAATGAAAGGTTTTGCCTCACATTCTGTGTCCTTGGGTTTCATATAGATGGAGTGTTCCAATAACCTATTTTCATGACCATAACAGAAACTTGGTTTCCTTTCTCCGAAGTACAAGACCTTCTTATCATAGTTCTTAGCAATTTAGAGTAGAAATCACCAATTTCACCACCGATGTTTTATCAGGGAATATAGTTTGAACTCATACAATTGAAAGATGATGTAAAAACATTGATCATATAACTAAAACATAACAAACACAGGAGAGCTAAAAATATTACCAGGTCTTGGATATCCTCCTTTACAATGTAATATAAGCTGCATGGAAGACATAAGTCAAGTGTATTTTACATTCACTGCAAGAAAATTGCACCTGTTAGCAAAAGAACCAATGTTAGAACAATACAAATGTTAGCAAAAGAACCAATGTTAGAACAATACAAATGTTAGCAAAAGAGACAAGATAATAATGGTTTGGTTTGGTTTGGTTTGGTTTTATCTATCAATTTGCTTGTGTTGGTGTATTGAGTCGGTGTTAATTTCGATGGTCAATTAATGTATTCATGAAGTCACAGATGTAGAACTATTGTTCTTATGATAATGCAAATGGGAAACTACATGTGTTTCATTCTTAAGTAAAATAGTTGCAGAAAATTGAACGATGTGCAGAATTTTAAGGAGCAGAAATTTAAGAAGATGCAAAAAGGATTAACTAATGTGCAGCAAATGATCAAGCGAATAAAGAACATTCCAAATTACATTTACAATCAGTGGAAACAGGAGAACAACAATCATGAGGCAGCAAGGATTGTGAAATAGGATATTGTGTATGTATCAGACAATTCACAACATATTTCTTATCAGCAAGACATTTTCAAGGTGTTTTTTCTTTTACGTAGGCTGGAACTGTTATCTCATAGCTGATGTACCATGTGCATAACCATTTCCTTTGTCTTCTTTCAGCTTATCAATCTGCTCCATATGCACTTAGTAAAGTGGCTGAAAGAAAAGGTCTTTCTTTGAAACCATTGTTTATTAAGATGGTGTCCTTCACAAATTTTATATTATTAGTTTATTACCTATTATCCCAAATCATTATAGGGTTTGTCGTGTGGAATTCACATTAAAATAGAAGCAGAAATCGGTTYGAAACAAAAGCAGAAATCGGTTCGAAGCATAAGGAAGAAAGCAATACCTGTTCGAAGCAGCAACGTTCACTTAAATTGGTGAATGAAGGAAAATATATAAATGAACTAATCAACAAAAAAAATACAGTTTTTCTAGTTAACCTTTCAACGTGTTCTTTTAGAATGTTTTACATTGTCATCTAGCTTATCAGCTACCTTTCACAACCCATGACTAGCTTATTAGCCAACAATTAACTTATCACATAGTTTACCGAACAACTAGCTTATTTTTTGAGCTTGTATTTTTTTTTCAATTATGCCCCTTATATTTTTTCTAATTAATTATTCAACATGTCCTTTTAAGTTATTTTACATTATCATCTAGCTTATCAGCTAGTTTTCACCAAACATGACCAGTTTATCAGCCAACAACTAGCTCACCAAACATAGCCTTAATGTTGGAAAGCTCCTAAATTCTAAACTATCATGGGACAAGTTCATCTAGACAGCAACCAGATTCAAATGCAAACCTGTATTTCAACTTGTCCCAATCCCAGTCCAGTTCCTTGATTGGTGCACAACCCCAACCAGAGAAGCCACACTCGAGTGATCTGACTGCCTTTGAAAAGATTSTTGAAACGTGCACCCTACTGCCATGGATTCACGAACAGATTTCATCTGGGTTGTCAACACCGGTTGAGATCCTGGGAATTTCTCAAATGCAAACCTGGGTATCTATACCATATAAATTAGTGTTAGAATTATCATTAGGAATCTGATCCAAAGAATAACCAACAGATAATTTGGCAGCCATTTTTGCAATAGGAAAACAAGTAGCTTTTGAT